TTTTATTAATACAACAATCATACAATATAATACGTAAATTACAAACAACAATTTCCTAATAAAATCTAATTCTAATCTTAAATTCTAATGTTGTTAAATTCATATAAAATTTAAATAATTGCACTTTTGATAGTATACTAATATTAATGAATAATACAAAAGTTTATATGATCCATTTTTGTTAAATTAGATACAAAAATGTATACATTATTGAGTTTTTAAATCGATTACAACACTTTGTGTTAATTTTATTTGATGTACTTCAAAAATACGATTCGTAAACAACAAATTTTTAAATTCAAAAGTGTGTGTGTGAATTCAAAGCGAATTTCTCAACTCCCCAAGTAACTAAATAGTAAATGTATACATTAAACGATTTCCTCATTAACTAACTAAAAATTATTCAATTATTTCAATGGCAAATACTATAGTTATTAAAATTTAAACATTGATTTGTATTAATACAACAATCATACAATATAATACGTAAATTACAAACAAAAATTTCCTAATAAAATCTAATTCTAATCTTAAATTCTAATGTTGTTAAATTCATATAAAATTTAAATAATTGCACTTTTGATAGTATACTAATAATAATGAATACTACAAAAGTTTATTTGATCCATTTTTGTTAAATTAGATACAAAAATGTACACATTATTGAGTTTTTAAATCGATTACAACACTTTGTGTTAAATTTATTTAATGTACTTCAAAAATACGATTCGTAAACAACAAATTTTTAAATTCAAAAGTGTGTGTGTGAATTCAAACCCAATTTCTCAACTCCCCAAGTAACTAAATAGTAAATTTATACATTAAACGATTTCCTCATTAACTAACTAAAAATTATTCAATTATTTCAGTGGCAACTACTATAATTATTAAGATTTAAACATCGATTTTTATTAATACAACAATCATACAATATAATACGTAAATTACAAACAAAAATTTCCTAATAAGATCTAATTCTAATTTTAAATTCTAATGTTGTTAAATTCATATAAAATTTAAATAATTGCACTTTTGATAGTATACTAATAATAATGAATACTACAAAAGTTTATTTGAATCATTTTTGTTAAATTAGAAACAAAAATGTATACATTATTGAGTTTTTAAATCGATTAAAACACTTTGTGTTAATTTCATTTAATGTACTTCAAAAATACGATTCGTAAACAACAAATTTTTAAATTCAAAAGTGTGTGTGTGAATTCAAAGCCAATTTCTCAACTCCCCAAGTAACTAAATAGTAAATTTATACATTAAACGATTTCTTCATTAACTAACTACAAATTATTCAATTATTTCAATGGCAAATACTATAGTTATTAAAATTTAAACATTGATTTTTATTAATACAACAATCATACAATATAATACGTAAATTACAAACAACAATTTCCTAATAAAATCTAATTCAAATCTTAAATTCAAATGTTGTTAAATTCATATAACATTTATATAATTGCACTTTTGATAGTATACTAATAATAATGAATACTACAAAAGTTTATTTGATCCATTTTTGTTAAATTAGATACAAAAAATGTATACATTATTGAGTTTTTAAATCGATTACAACACTTTGTATTAATTTCATTTAATGTACTTCAAAAATACGATTCGTAAACAAGAAATTTTTCAATTCAAAAGTGTGTGTGTGTTTTCCACGATATTCTGCGAAACGGAACGCAGAGTGTTTAACATTCGTGTCAGGGCGTCACGAACAGCTGCGGTTTTACACTCGCATTTTACACTCATTATGAATGTAAACAATTTTAACGATTCAATAAAAACGATGAACAACTAATAAATAAATGCGTTCAGAATTTCTATATAAAAGAAACAATAATATTTTGTATATAATCAGTATCATTTAATTAATTTTTGTAATATTCTATTCGTGAGATAAAGAGGAAAATTACATTGCATGACCCATTTCTTTTCGTTCGTTGGAAAGTTCATATTTATGCGAGCAATGTAATTGATTTTACTTTCTGCGTGATCTTAACGATGCATTAGAGTGTAAATTTATATTATTTATTTAATGTATTAAGTAACTCAATCACCTATCATATTTCTAATGAATATCCTCTTACTTGTAGTATCAATAAACGTAATTAAACATGTTTTGTTAATGCAACATTTTTTAAGAGATGATTGAACAAATTTGAAATTTGTTGATTTAGTTGTGTATTTTTTTTTGTAATTGCTGCAAGTATGTCGACGTAGAATGTGTTAACCATGTAGTGGTAGATTAGTCATCAAAACTCGAATTAGAATTCAATATTTGTGAGACAACCGCAAAAACCGCTAACGATCGAGCGTAGAATAACATAAGTAAAAGCTTTTCCTTCCTCACTTGTGTGCTGTGCATGAAATACAATGAAATTATATTACTTTTCAATGCAATGATTATATAAATATTAATGAATTGTATATATTTCAATTGATGTTATTAATATATAAATTAGGAAGAAAAAGTTTCTGTCGTTAGACAGAAAATGTTAGTTAATAAATTGATCATAACAATGACTGTAATTCATAATAATAACGCTTCTTTTATGACAATTTTTGTCTTATAGAGATTTTATTATTAATTCTTTATAATTAAGAACTGTATAGTTTTGTGTAATTTTCACTTGACTTTGTCCATATTTGTTGTCAAAATATTAAGATTTGTAACTGAATGACCCACACTAAAAGTATATGAAACGAAAACTGACTTAACTTAAGTATAACAAAAAATAGCTGCAATTTATAATAATATCGCTTGTTTTATGATATTCGATTTTTATGTTTTGGTATAAATTTCAATAAAATTTGTCCATGTTTGCTGTAGAACTAAAAGGCTATGAAACCAATGAAAATAATTCATAATAGTAACGTTTCTTTTATGACATTCGTATATATCTACAATATTTGTCTTATTTGTATTATTAATTCTTTTTTAATTAAGAACTGTATAGTCTTGTGTTTTAGTGTAATTTTCAATTGACTTTGTCCATATTTCTTATAAAAATATTAAATTTTATAACTGAAAGATCTACATTAAAAGGATATGAAACGAAAACTTACTTAACTTAAGTATAATAAAAAATAGCTGCAATTCATAATAGTAACGTTTATTTTATGACATTCGTGTAAATCAATAATTTTTATCTTATTTGTATTATTAATTCTTTTTAATTAAGAACTTTCTAATTTTGTATTTTAGTGTAATTTTCAATTGACTTTGTCCATATTTGTTGTAAAAATACTAAGATTTGTAACTAGAAGATCTACACTAAAAGTATATGAAACGAAAACTGTCTTAACTTAAGTATAACAAAAATGACAATAATTCATTTTTTTATAGATTTTATTATTTTTAATAAGAGTTTTATGTTTTGGTGTAAATTTCAATAAACTTTGTCCATGATTCTTGTAGAAATATTAAATTTTATAACTTAACTTAAATATATTAAAAAATTGCTGCAATTCATAATAGTAACGTTTCTTTTATGACATTCGTGTATATCTACAATTTTTGTCTTATTTGTATTATTAATACTTTTTAATTAAGAACTGTATAGTTTTGTGTTTTTGTGTAATTTTCAATTGACTTTGTCCATATTTCTTGTAAAAATATTAAATCTTATAACTGTTAGATCTACACTAAATGCATATGAAACGAAAACTTACTTAACTTAAGTATACCAAAAAATTACTGCAATTCATAATAGTAACGTTTCTTTTATGACATTCGTGTATATCTATAATTTTTATCTTATTTGTATTATTAATTCTTTTTAATTAAGAACTTTCTAATTTTGTATTTTAGTGTAATTTTCAATTGACTTTGTCCATATTTGTTGTAAAACTATTAAGATTTGTAACTAAAAGATCTGTACTAAAAATATATGAAACGAAAACTGTCTTAACTTAAGTATAACAAAAATGACAGTAATTCATTTTTTTATAGATTTTATTGTTTTTAATAAGAGTTTTATGTTTTGGTATAAATTTCAATAAACTTTGTCCATGTTTGTTGTAGAAATATTAAATTTTATAACTGAATGATCCATATTAAAAGGATATGAAACGAAAACTTACTTAACTTAAGTATACCAAAAAATTACTGCAATTAATAATAGTAACGTTTCTTTTATGACATTCGTGTATATCTATAATTTTTGTCTTATTTGTATTATTAATTCATTTAATAAAAAAAAAACTGTATAGTCTTTTGTTTAAGTGTAATTTTAAATTGACTTTGTCCATATTTCTTATAAAAATATTAAATTTTATAACTGAAAGATTTACATTAAAAGGATATTTTATAGAGATTTTTATTAGTAATTATTTTTAATTAAGAAATGTATAGTTTTGTGTAATTTTCAATTGACTTTGTAAAAATATTAAGATTTGTAACTGAATGATCGACACTAAAAGTATATGAAACTAAAACTGACTAAGTATGACAAAAATAGTAGCAATTCATTATAACAACGCTTTTAATTAAGAGGTGTGTAGTTATGTGTTTTTGTATAATTGTTAGTTGGGTTTGTACATATTTGTTTGTAATTTGTTGTAAATTTATTGAGATTTGTATTGAAATACTTAAATATTTGTAAGTAATTGTTTGAATAAGATTAATAATTGCTTTTGAAAGTAATTATTGTTAGTTTTGTAATAATTAACAAGTAAATGTTGTTGTTGTTTTAGACTGATTTATAAGTATTTGATGTAATAAGTTCAATGGATTGTGGTAGGAGGATGCAATTGGAATTCTGTAGGCGATGCATCAAACATCGAAATGGGTTCTTCCGTTTGGCTTCTGGTATTGAAACCGGGTCTGGAATATGGAAGGAAGGACGATGATACAAGAGTCTCCTCTTGTCCGAAAACAAGCAAAAGAGAAGAGAAACGGATGGCATAAGAAGTAATGGGAACAGAGAAAATATCGAATGATTCAATCCTCTGCGATGGTTGAGCGCAAGGCGCGCGCTCGCTCGCCGCTTCCTCGGGGCGCGAGTGGGGATATAAACCGGTCGTCGAGTTTAGTTCATCACGGTAACTCTTGGATGAAAGGTGAGGAGGAAAGTTGCTGTTGAATCTCTTTGCCGCTCAAAAGCAAATAACAAGAAACTCATCATCAATACAACAAATCTGTTATTGTTCTTCTGTTCTTTCACACTGTCTGATTGTGTTGCCTAGGTTGTGCGAATTTGTGCGGAACAGGAAGAGGAATAATGCTACTACCACACGTCTTGGTTGTTTTGGCCGCGCTGGCGTTCGCAGATTGTGCTACCGTCGAGGAAAAGTTGCGGGACGACGCTGATCTTTCTCAGGTAAAGAAAACCAAAAAAAAAATAGATACTAAATAAAATGAAAAAAAGAAAAAGAAAAGGTAGATGATGATGAAAAAGAGGTATTTGAGAGGAGACTACCTCGGTGCATAATAACACACACAGTTTTGTTTACCAGCTCGAAAGTCAAGGTTAACGATCACACAAATACATAAGCAGAGAAATGTTTCATTATCGAACAATGTGGAACAAGAAGGACTTTTGCGCCAGTTCGAAATTTGCCGCCCATTATTTAATTCCGCGCGCCGTTTATTCGCTTACAATTAACTCGCTCTTTTTACAGTCATCACCGCATTCATGCATGCGTACGTTCCTCGAAAAGCCAAAGCTCTTCCTCTACTTTTTACCACTTGCCCGGGTGGTAATTAGGGCATCCCTTTGAAGTCGCGGATGTTGGAAAGTTTCGTGTGCGCGCTACCAAACTCCGAAACAAAACCCTTACAAAAACGAAAAAAAATGGTATTCTCTATTCCGGTCACGGAAAAATAAGGATAATAATACAAATTCCGTGAATTTTCACTGCATTTTTTCCTCCAAACGTTAGTTGATTCATACTTCTGCATTAGTCACTAATTCATTCTGTTGCGACACGTTCACTTAACATCGCTTCAATTCACATTTAAACGTAAATGAAATAACCGAATTCGCATTCCGCGCTTTCATTAAATTTTTGCGAGAATCGATAACAAAGTTACGTAACTCGAAGCTCCAGTTTCGCATCTATTTTGACCCTTTTCTTATATCTTAAGAGTTTATACACTTTAATGCACTACGTTTATAATTTATTTTGCATTAAATAATTAATAAAAGAGACTAAAATTTGTAGTAAAATTATTATTATTTTGATATTGGATCAATAAATTTAATTAAAACGCTTCTATTGCTTCATTTATTGAATATTTTAACCATTTTATCCTTTTGTTAACAAAATTTAATGCATATATTTGATATTTAACGAATTTTTTTAATAAATTGCATATTTTTACCTACATTTTTTTAAATTAAAAAAAGTTATAATTTAAAAAGAAAAGAACTTTTTAAACGATTTTTATTTCATATTTTATAATTATAAATTACATTTAAAAACTGCAGCAATTTGTATAAAACCAAATTGAACTACAACACATTTATAAATGCTTTAAAAGTAGAATAATTAATCTTCATTTCATGATAATTTTGCAATATTTTCATAGAGATCAATGATTGTAATAAAATGAAATTATTCTATTTAATTATTTATTTATATACAGACTATTCGAAGTGTATCAAAATTTTAAATGTTATTAATTGAAACTGTTTTATATAAGTAAAATCTCGTACTTATTTAGTAAAAACTTACAATTTTGTCCTAAAATGGACAGTTTTTATTTATTGCATCTAAAAGTAGAATAATTGGTCTTAATTAAACTTCTCAATATTAGTTAAAGTCAATAAGAAATTATAAATTTTCAATACTTAAATGTTAAGAAAAATCTCTTCTTTATTTAATTAAAAACAATACATTTTATATTCGTACAATAAATTGGTATAAAATAAAGAAATTAATTAAACTGTAAATACATTTTTATTGGATCTAAAGATAGAATAATTAGTTTTCAATTTACGTGTAAACATTTTACAACTTATTAACTAGGAAATAAAGAACACTTTTATTGCTTATAAAAGTGCTGAAATAAACAGTCTTTATTTCAGTACTCATTATTATCACAATTTTAAACAGGATTCATTACATAACTTACGAATTAATTGAAAACAGTAAAAAAATTATTAAATTGAAAACCTAAATTTGAATAAGAAATTATGAGATTTTGTTTAATAAATTAAGCAAAAAAAAGTTGATCAATTCTGAATTAATGTTTACTTTTACAATTATTAGATAGTTTATGACTTAGTGACAATACTTAATTGTCCTTAAAGATTAATTAAATGATAAAGACTATTGTTGCGTATGGAAATGTTATGTAACTGACTGAATGATTAATCTTCATTTAAAGAGATGTTAGTTTGTGTGCAGGCGAATGCACGAAGCGACATTCATATGATTAATATTACATAAGTGAGATAATTGAAGAAGATAAATCCACTCGACGATAGATGCTGCACTTAACCTTTGTTAACACGGCGAGAAAATAAACGAAAACTTAAGATAATCAATTTATTTGTTATTTATTGTTAATAATTAATACGAAATTAATACTAACACAAAACTATTGTTTATTATTACATAAGTGATTGAACAAACAAAAAAAAAAAGAAAGAAAACAGAAATTAAATCCGAAGAAAGCAGCTGCACTTAACCTTTATTAACACAGAACGGTCTGAAGATAAAAGGAAATTAGTCGAAGGAGATGAAGAAGGTTGAGGAGGATAAACGGGGACCGTAGGAGGCAATTTGAATGTGGGAATGCGGGATGATGATGATGATGTGTTTCACAAAGCGTTAGGTAATGTTGTGTAATCTGTAATCCTCTGGATAATATGTGTACAATTAGAGTACGGAGAGTGTTGTACAATTTGCGTTTGCATCCATTTATCGGCGACGGATTAAAACTTTTATTTTTATAATTATTAACCTACGTAATTCAACAACTTTTTCCATCCTAATCACATCATTGTTTAATTTACAATCGATTGTTGAAAGGAAAACAAGTCATTAGTTTTGTAAATAAGTAAAATCAACAAAAAAAAATGGAAATTTAATAACGTATTGTTTCGTATGTAAATGATTCAGTTTATAAAGAATTTCTACATCTAGTTATTTTTTTTTGCTCTGTAATCTATTGAATTCGATAGAAATTATTAGTATTTGCTTTCGTTATATCACTTTAGTAAATAATTATAATAAATGTGAATTTAAAACTTATGTAACTTTAGATTTAGAGTTGTCATAAAAGCAGCGTTACGATTTCATCATTTTACGATTTAATTAGGTGGTGAATCTGGATTGCATCAAGTATATTAGCTAAAGATGTCTGGATAACTTGATGAGATGATTTGTGTGGTAGATAAACAATGTTTTCTTATACGTTTCGACGGCGAAAATGTTTCCTTTGCTCTCGACAAGACACCGAAATGAATGAATGAATGAACGAACGAATACGTGTATTTGACAGAAAATCGATGTTGAAACGTTACAAAAATCCACATTTTCAGTTTACTTATAGCCATCGTCTTCAATGGATCCGTGTATTTGCCAATTACTCAGCATGAAAGATTGTATTTTGTAAAGTTTTTCAAGCAAAAATCGACATTTTTCACTGAATCCATTTCCAAACTATCCATAGTTTCATTGTTAAATTAGTTACACTTTGAATTGTGCACATTTAAACAATTGTTAAATATACAGTTTTGTCATATAATAAAATATAATGGAAAAGCTGAAATAGTATACAAAATATTGTAATTTAATCAATGTATAAACAACATTGAAAAATTAATTCGCGCGAATTTTATACGAAAATATTACATGATTGTTTTTTTTTTGATGACTCAAACAATCGATACTTGTTCTACATTCTAGTATTTAGCTGAGGTTACAGTTTTTTTTTGTCCAATAAGCACAAGTTTTCTCTCCGTTGATTTTAATACAGACTTATAGATAAAAGCGAGTTAATGGACATTCCGTTTCCAGCAAAAAAAAAAATAAATTTCTCCTAACAAATGGAAGTTTTGTAGGAGCGCGAATAGTAGTGATTCGGGCAAAGTCGAAAGCGGATTATCTTTCTGCCCTTTAAAATAATAAACGAGTGAAAATTTTAATTAAAAACGCTGCATAAAGAAGAACAATAGGATTGTTTTTTTTGAGAAATACAGAGAATAGGAGAGTTTTTATCCCGACTTGTGAAAATTGTTTTTCTTCTAACTTTTGTATGATTATATTATATAATTTTTTTTTAGTTCACTACATGGAAATGGTTGTATTCCATACTGAATTACATGAGTTTAATAAGGATTTGTAATAACGTTACTATTTCGTTAATTATTTTTCTATATCAAACTATACGATTCGCTATAATTTATTACAATACTGAATTACATGAGTTTAATAAGGATTTGTAATAGCGTTACTATTTCGTTAATTATTTTTCTATATCAAGCTATAAAAACTATACGATTCGCTATAATTTATTACAATACTTTAATAAATAATTGTAATTAATGTGACTTTACGTAACTTTGTTAATAAATCATTTTTTAAGTGTCATAAAAGAAGCGTTACTATTTGATTAGTCATCAATTATTAAAAAAAAATTGTCATAAAAGAAGTGTAACTATTTTATCAATTTCTCTCTCATTCAAAATTGAGGTTATGTAAGTTTTTATATGATTTTCGTGTATTGTAGTTTATCTAATTTTATTTGGAAATAATTTTGGAGTGAATTTCATAATTGAATCAACATTTATTTGAAGAAAACATCGTAACGGTTCTTTTATGACAATAAAATTTTAAATTGAAAAATGAAAAATTGTTTTTGATTAATAATGGAATATAAAAAAAAAGTGTTTATGGTGGTTTCATCCACTGGTATTTGAGCGGTTGGGCTTTTGCGAAATGCGTGCAAATATTCGGCCGCGTTTTCCGCATTGCCGAAACCGCACGTCCGTAATTATCGTCGAGTATTATTGTAAATAATTAATTAAATAATAACAATAATAACAATGATGGTGACTATAAACGGATTAATCGGAAATTTGCACAAATTATACAATTTTGATGGATTTGCAATTTAATATTTGAAAGTTGATCTGGATAAGGTTTCAATCGACGTGCGAGAACTCTTTGGGTAAACAACGGGCGAGGATGATTATTGGCATCATCAAGGACGGTTGTTTGCTCCGATAATTTGATGGGTTTTCGTGGATAAATAATTTACATAACGTTGACACCTTCAGCAAACACATTTTAATATATTCATAGCCTATTAAATCGCTATTAGATGGATCATCTCGGGTTTGCACACAATTGTTTTAGAACTTCTTTAAAGATATCTTTATCTCATTTTATCCAGCGTTTCTAAACTTTTTAATTGTTATTCGTTTGTCCCAATTCTATTATTTTGACATCTGTCACTTTGCATCGAATGTGACAGCTGTCACTTTGTATCAAAGATGACAGCTGTCATTACAAGACACATAGGTTAAGAAACGCTGCTGTATAGTATTGCAGTGCAATTGAGGAAGTTGACAAAATGTTATCCGCATTAGATCCAATTCCTACGTTTCTAAAGTCAATAATAATAATAATGACGGGGAATAAGCACAAGTTTTCTCAATCGTTTTACAGCTTCTTTAAAGATATATTTATCTCATTTTATCCAGAGTTTCTCAACTTTTTAACTGGTTTTTGTTTGTCCCAATTGTATTTTTTGACATCTGTCACTTTGCATCGAATGTGACAGCTGTCACTTTGTATCAAAGATGACAGCTGTCATTACACGACCAACATG